TCACAGGGTCAGTTCTATCCTCTCTAATAGGGTGGCTATGAGTCAGAACCAACTAGAAGGCAGGGGGCATTTCTCCATAGCCCATGTGCCCCGCATAGGTGCTCAAATAAAGTTGTCTCCTACAGACGCCTGACTCCTCACATATGTAGTTACAGTGCGCTTATCTCAAAGAACGTTTGCTCCCCTTGACTCTTGTATGCTTTGTCCTCCCTTTGAAGTATTCCCTTTGACGGCTTGGAATACCAGGTTAGTTCATTGCCCATTTATTTGATTGTACATGATTCACAAGAAGCTTGCATGTCTCAAGAGCTACAAAAACTCCTGGCTGAATAAACTCTTGGCTCTTCTCCCTCTTCTCACTTCTCCCGAGAGTGGAGTTGAGTCCCCTGTGCCCCCTTTTCTGTCTTCTTTAATTGTGAGTGTCGCTCCACAGGACCGTACAACTCTGCGGCTGGACCCACGGTCGGCCATCCGTCCACTCCTCCAAATGTTTGCCCGTGCTCACACCAGCCTTCCCTCCCCCAGCACGCTCTGCTTCTCCTCTGGGTCTGGTAATCGATCGTAAAGGCCACACACAACTCAGAGACAGTGTTCACAGTTTAGGGGCTCAGTTCCATGGTTTTTTAAGACCGACTCGGGATCGGGAAGCATGTGGACACAGTGTCCCTTCCCAGAGGCAGGACCGCTCTCTCAGCTCCTCCGGAGCAGGTAGGCGTCTTCTCCGCCTTCTCAGGACAAGCTTGTCTTGGCCCCCTTGCTGATCACCACTGGCTCTGCCACTAGATCCCTTCTGATTGGATTTATACGTTTCCTTGCCTTCCCTCTTTCTGCATTTTCTCTGTCCTGTCTTCCTTCTGCTGCTTCCTACTTCCTTCCTTCTTGCTTCGTCCAGTCTGAAAATCTCTGTGGGGGTGGCTGCAAATATACACAGCTCCATGCCAGTTTACAAGAGGAGCACGGATGGCCTAGTGGATGAGATATTGGGCGGCAAGCCACAAGGTCAGTGGTTTGCAACTACCAGTCTCTCCATGGAGAAATATGAGGCCTTCTACTCCCATAAAGATTACCATCTCGGGCAGTGCTAGTCTGCCCTGTAGAGTCACTATGAGTGAGAATTGACTCATTGGCAGTGGGGTTTTGTCAGTGTGAAGTCTTTGTCTCTCCCAGTGAGGGGTCCACAGGCTGACTAAGCCCCTGTCACACACCCTTTATTTTCATTGTCTATGAACCAGTCCCTGCAAGATCCATATCCAACACTGGGCAGGCTGCCATCCAGGACCAGGCCAAGTCTATCAAAGCTGTGTACATTTACCAAGGACATGTCCATCCACCTGGAGAAAAGTAACTAACTCTCTACGGTAGAAAATTAGAGGAAAAGTAACTTCTCAGCAGAAACATCCCCACGCTGTTTTTCCAGAGATGCAAGGATAACAGTCACATATGGGTACTTATTTCACCTTAAAACTCCAGGTAATGAAGGGAGAGGGGCTTTTCTGTCTTTGGGGGCATATGCTTCTCCAGTTCTTTCTTCCTTTACCCAGTCCACCTTCAAACCAAACTCACTGCCAGACTCGATTCTGACTCATAGCAATCCCACAGGACAGAACAGATCTGCCTCTTTGGGTTTCCGAAATGGAAATCTATATGGGAGCAGAGAGCCTCATCTTGCTCCTGTGGAGGAACTGGTGATTCCAAACTACTGAGCCTATGGTCTGCAGCCCAGTGCGTGTGGGTCGCCCGCGATGTGGCCCGGACGCCTCAATCCAGCTGCAGAGTCGTAGAAATTCAGTAGTTGCTACATTTTGCCATTTGCCTTTGTTTGCTGATGGGTTACACTTCTGGATAAAGTAAGTGGATTTCGGGCAAAGTACTTATTGATTTATTTACTTTTTCAACCCGAATTGGGAAGAGAAAGCACCATTCCTGGTGGAAGTTTCCAGATTTCATTCACATTGGGGGAGTGTGCAGGTTGGTGTCCAGGGGGCTCAGAAGAGCCTTTGTCAGATGCCCTTGAAATCCAAACCAGCAAGGGAAGGGTGCTGGCCTGGCATGGTGCTGCTTGTTTGTGAGCTCAGAGATGAAAGCGGACTTTGTAGGGGCTGTGGAGGGGAACCCTGGCCCGCTTTCCTCTGCATTTGTGTCTCCCCAGGGTACTCTTGCTGACAACAGGTTGAGTGCTGCTTTCCCGGCCCTCTTTCTGTAAAATATCCTTTTCCCCCTGTGTATAGGATCTTCACCTTCACAATCATCCCTCCTCCTTTGCTCCCTCCCTCCCCCCAGCTTTAGTGTCTGTTCTTCCTCCTCTCCCTGTTTATCATTTGCTTTCCCCATGTCTAACCCAGAGCCCTGCTCTCTCTTCCCCTCCTCCTAGCTTAGGGATGCTGCGCTAACCCCTGGGATGATAGCCTCAGGCCACTGGGTCAGCCTTGACCTTCAGACATGAAGTTGTCTGGGCAGAGAAGCCGTGGGCTCTTAGGAAAGTGTGGGCTCTGGAGGGTGTGCGTGTGGGATGGCGTCAGGCAGACAACGAACAAGGAGGCAAGACTCGGGAGACCTTCCTTTAAAGGAGCCACGTAGAAGGGAGGGCCCTTCCTTTGTCAGTGCTTGTGTGTTGGAGATGAAAAGGAGATTGCACATGATACTGAAAACTGATAATTCACGGTGGTTTCAGCTGATGAAGCAGTGAAGCTTGCAAAAAAAAAAAGGCAGTAGAAAAATTGGCTTCCCAATGCATAAAGAATACACACTCTAGTCACTTCTATGAACTGCTCATTATTTAGACTAATTACTACCATGTTCGCTATCGTGCATGCCTTTAGATGAATCAGATTTTTTTGTGTAAGCCTTATTTGATTATAGTGCTAGATTCTGTTTTTGTCAGCAGAGTTCTAGTCTATAATTGCCTGATAAATCTTCTACTTGACCTTCCCTCTCTCTGCAAGGTCATACACTTCTCTTTTCTTTAGGTAAACCTAACCTCTCAAAGATAACTAGTTTATATATTTTGTCACCTGAAAAAAGTCGGTATTTGGCTGTCAGAGGCCACAAATTCAGCAGCAGAACAGACAGACCTGTTAGAAGGTTAGACCCCACCCCACGCCCACTTCCTGTGTAAAACACAGACCTTTGCAGTTTTAAATGCTCTGGTACAGTATGTGGGAGCCCTCTCCTGAGGATGAAGGTGGATATGGGGTGTTGAGTAGCAGGAAGAGCTGAAGGAATCTCCAAAAGTTCATGGAAAACTGGAATGAAAAGGTAATGGAAAAATGTACATGAACATTTTGAAGCGCCCTCTCTATGGAAGGAGCCCTGGTGGCACAGTGGGTCATGCATTGTGTGCTCACCACAAGGTCAGCAGTTTGAACCCACAAGCCACTCCCTGGGAGAAAGGTGAGGCTTCTGCTCCTGTACAGATTTCCAGTCTTAGAAACCCACATGGGCATTTCTGCCCTGTCCAGTAGGGCTTCTGTGAGTCAGAATCGACTATGTGGCCGTGAGTTTGGTTTTGCTTAAGGAATGCTCCGAAGACTTGACCTTGTGAAACCTCAACACCTGTTGGTTTGCCTTTTAGAAGAGGTTAGAGAGAAGACCCTGCCAAGAGGGTGGTCCAGAGCCATTGGGAAGTGAAGGGCAACATTAAAATGCTAGAAAGATGATCCACGGTTCCATTCTGCTTGCCGTTGGAAGACTGTTCTCTGCAGCACAGTGGGGAGAGCGTTGTGGGACAGGGACGGCAGCAATCGTGCAGTATTTCACTCCTTGCTTCTGAGTCCTGTTTTGATCAGGGGAATGGAAATGGGTTCTCTCCCCAAATCATTTCTATCTAAATGGTATAAATTAGAAAAGCTATATAGTAAATATCCCTTATTGGTTGGGGAATATGTGCCTATTGATCCAGATATATGTATGTATGTATAGATTTTTAATTGTGCTTGCAGATTCTCTTTCTTAGCAAATGCAGGTAGTGGAGATGACAGTGATAGTAGCTGGCATTTATGAGGGTGTACCTTGTGCCCAGCACTGTATATACCCTATTTCTTTCACTGAAGCAACAACCCCTTAGGATGCAGACAGTCCTAATTTCTTAAGGTCACAGTGAGCAGGAGATGGATTGATGGCAGTGAGTTTTGGGTTTCTTACAGTTGAGGTGCAGGGAGGTTAGATAATTTCACCAAGGGGCAGAAGATACGGTTTAGCCTTCTTCACAGCATTCCAGTTGTTTAGCTCTTACACACTGTGCTATTTTGTCCTTATGTTGACTCTGTTGATATGAAAAAGCTGAAATTCTGGAATTTTCAACAATGGTATATACCAAGTCGTAATGACATGCAAACATTTTCTAAAGAAAATAGAAATATTTAGCGTATTAGTGACATGTAAAAAGTTTAAATAAGCAGTTTGATTTTCTTTGGTTTATTTATCTGAGATCCTAGTGACACCCAATCAATTCTGATGCATAACGACCCTATAGGACAGAATTTAATTGTTGCATATGGTTTTGGAAATGGAAAATCTTATATCTGTGTGTGTGTGTCAATTAGGTGGGTGTTCACATTTCAGGTCATCAATTTTGTATTCAATAACTTCAGCTACATAACAATCCTACCTAGTAGCTCACTCTACACCCTTCCCCTTGACTTTCTCTTCCCCGCTTGTGGATTACTGTTTTCCCCTTCACGCAGGATTGCACATCCTTATGGAAGTAGACAACCTCATCTTTCTCCTGCAGGACAGCTGGTGGGTTGGACTGTGTCATCCAGTGCTTGACCTCCAATGCCGCCAGGGTTCCTGGTGTACTCAGCATAGTAGCGTAATAGATAACTTACCATCAAAATGGAAAACGAGAAGAGGGAATGTTAATAATGATGCCCTAACAGCAGAAGTAAACCGGTTTACACTGGCATCATAGGTATACTGTTACACTTAATGATGCCTGTTTGTCTTATTTGCACCTTTGAATTAAATTCTTCTAATTATTCTTCATGATTTTGAATTTACAGGAGGGTTCCTCAATGTCAACGTAAGCGAGGTCAGTTTTGAGGAAATTCATCAGCTCTTTGCCAAGGATTTAGATATCGAGCCAGGAGGTCACTGGAGGCCCAAAGACTGTAAACCCAGATGGAAGGTGAGGTGAATTTCTCATCAGTAATGTGACTGTTAACATGCATTTGAAAAAAAAAAATCAGAGGTTAAACTTAGAATTCAGAGTGAAATACCATTGACTCTTGATCAGTTAAAGACATCAGGATTCACATGTGTATTCTCAGTTAAAATGAGATTTAATCGTGGTACTTATGCAGACTTTAAATGTGCCTATAAAACATGTGCTCATTGGTCCCGCCTCTTGAAATTCCTGCCCTCGGTGGGATAGGCAGTGTGCATTGTGTTCTGTTTTGGAAGAGAAAGACTGAAGTCGTTGCCTCCTCCCACTACCACTACGAATCTGCTGGCTGCCTGCAGGTCTAACTCCTCCAAGTGCTGGTACCAGTGAGAGCCCACTGGGAGGATATTATGTTCTAATTTCTAATTGGGTCTGGCACTGAGATCCCGAAGTGATGCTTCTCAGAACCCAGGAATGCAAAAGACGTGCACGGAAGTCCCTGCAGAGCATGCTGTATATAGCCGTGGGCTCCTCACCTCTGTTTCAGATGACAGAGCAGAAAAAAACCCTCATCTTTTCTGATATATTAGAATTCTGCTTTATACTTTCTTTGAGAAATACGTGTGAGAATGGGCTTATGGGTTAAAAAATGACGGAAAATCATGTTTTAGATCAGCCCCCACCCCACCCCCCCAGCTCTGGAACAATCCTGGGATGCTATGAAAGCAGGTGCCTAAATTTCCTCTATTATGGGCTACAATACAAATGTTTTTAATTGCCAAGGGGGCGTTGGGTAATATATTTTTTTCTGAAAAGGTGGTAGTAGGCCAAGGAAGTTTGGGAGCCAATGATTTCAACCCTGTTCCTCTCAATACTCTGTATGTATTGCTTATGGAGGGCGCACTTGTCTCATGCCGAGATGTTTAAGTAGAAAATAACATTTATGTAGTTCAAATGAAAATTGCTAGTAATTAAAATGAAGTGTTATATCGTTAAGGATTGTGATGTAATCATCATCTGGTAACAGTTTTTAACTTCTCTTTTGAAATGGTGATATTCTGCTAAAATTGTCCTGTGGTATATACACACACACACACACACACACACACACAAAGTCACAGCTAGGAAAGAGAACTGTATGATGTGAAGCTCACAGAGAGACAGACTTAATCCACCTTGAATTCTTTATTTGGGACTGTTTATAAGCATAGTACAAAAAAAGTGTTGTCTTGAGGGTGGAAATTAAATGGGCTTTTTTGGGCCTGGTTACAAATTATTCAATAAAAGACTTCTCATTCTCTCAAACAGGCTGAGAAGCTGGTTAAGTGGTTTCCAGTATAAAATTTGGAAAATCACTCTACTTTCTTATTGTCATAATGCTATTTGTCAGATCAGATTCATTTAATAAGGGAATCTTTCCCCGTTTCTAGATTGAAATTTGCTATATTTAATAAATAACACGTGACCATTTTATATTAAAATGCCCCCGGCAAAGAAGTTGTTTCTATTACTTGGGTGCAGATTGTGTATGCTGAATGTTAATGAGTGAAGGAGCACCCTCTATTAGTCACAAATTAGGTGACAGTTGAGGAGAAACATGTGGGTTGATCCTCAGATGGGGTTTCGTGTAAGGTATAACATGGCCACATCCCCTTCTCCACACACGCATGTGCGCGCGCGTACACACGCACACTGTGCAGTTATATGGCATAGTGATAACGGTAGAGTAATTTGGGGTCAGAAAGACTGAGTTTTCATCTTTCTCCAGTGGTCTGTCCAGATTTGGGGTTTTAAATTTGGTAGTTTGTTTCCTTCTCATTTCCCAAGAGAAAAACATGTCATTCCTAGAAGTCATACCCTACTTCGTAGACTGCACACTTCATGCAAATCAGTAGGCAACAGTTTTTGACATGGAATTCCCTAGACGCAGGCTTAATTGGAGAACCTAAAATCATCGCTTGTTTTGTTTAGGGACTGTTTAGTCATTTGAGGAAGCCTGGCTGGTGGAGGGGGTTATGCACTGGCTGTTGACTTCCAGGTGAGCACTTGGAAAGCATGAGCTGCTTATGGGTGGCAGACGAGCCGCCTCCTCCTGAATAGATGATTGACAGCCGTGTCTGCCCCCTCCTGAATAGATTGACAGCCGTGGAAGAACACAGGGCAGCTCTCTGTCCTAGAGGGGGTTAGGAGTTGGAATAGCCTTGATGACGTGGCTTTATCTCCATGTATGTACGTATTTATACAATGGCAAACCTGCCGTTTCAGCTTTGAGTACAAATCTTTCACAGACTATGGTGTCCAGTGCTGCGTTGTGCAGCTGAAAAGGAGAGTAGCGATTCTGGAGATCATTCGGAGGTGAAATGTGTGGGCTATTTTTAACTAAGGAAGTTCTCCCTCAAACACATAATAAGACCGTATTGCAAATGTGGGAGCAGAGTGGGGAGAGAGGCAAAGACCAGCTGGACTTATGTCCAGCATCTGCCACCAACTTGATTCTTAACCTGTGAGGCACTTTTTGCGCCTTAAAAAAAAAACTAATAAAATAATTACCAAGTTGATTGATGGTCAAGTTCATTGGAACCCAGGTACTCCTGACTGATGCAGGTTTACCTGGGAGAGGTCAGCCCCAGTTGAACACCTTATAGAGGCAAGCATATTTCTCAAAGGGAGATAGGGGGCAAGTGTGAGGGTTTTTGAGTCATTGAAAGGGTTTGGTTATGAAACATTGCCTGGGTTGTGGCTGAGGGCTTCGGCAACTTTGTTTCCACACCGTGAGGGTGAAGGAGCCAGGAAGGAGCTAGTGATGTTACTTTCTCAGAGAGGAAGTGTGGCATGGGCCTTCGCCAGCTGTTTCAGAGCTAGGTGGAGTTTCTGGTCAAAATGCAAGTTCTTGAACTCTATCCTCAGACATCCTGATTCAAAAGAGAGAGAAGCAAGGCCCTGCTTTTTAAATTTTTCTTTCCTTCTATGATGATTATTTTTTAATCATATAACTTTAATTTGAGAACTAGGTCCTGGAAATGAGGAAGAAGAGGATGAAGCTGAAAACCTTTGGGCAGTGAGGTTTGGTGGCTTCTGTTTGGCTCAGTCTTAGTCAGTGGTAAGGAGCAAGATTCCCTCTTAAGATGACCAAGTATCCAACTCAGTCATCTCGGGGACAGTCACACATGGTGCGCTTGACATGGTGGAGGAAATTTATGTGGAAAATACTTTCTTGATTGTTTCTTGATAGTATGTGTTGGAGAAAATAAGGTGCACAAATTAGTAAGGTTGATGTTTGTTTTTTAAGTGGGAACAAATGGGAAAATTTTGCTTGAACAAGAGGTGCTGAAGGAGAGATTTCTGAAGATGAAATGTTGTTTTTCAGAAGATAATGACAAGATACTCTCTCCCCACTGGAGCTGTATCAATAGGAGGGTGATTCAAGCACCAAATTGGGCACATGGAAGAAAGTGTGCCTTAACATGAAGCGATTAAAACGTCAAAGTAGATGATTACAGCACACCGAGATCTCTTCTTTCTAACCAGTCAGGTGCAGACTAAAGAGCATGTCTTTACACAGACAGAAGAAGAGACACCAAATGAATGCTCAAGAGAGTATCAAGCTTTATTTTGATGAAAAATTTTCTCTAGCCATTTTGTTCAATGTTCTGGTAACGCTCCTGTTAAGACTTTGACATTTACTTGCAACTAAAAGTCACTATAGCTTTCTGAATTTGCGGAGTCACTTTGCTAAGACATTAAATTCTTTTTTTACTTAAAATATTTTATTTCCTTATAAAGTTAAACAAAATAAAAGGACCAATAAAAAGATAAATTCTTGATATTCTAAATACTTCTTTGTATGCTATGACTTTATTGGTTCATGTTCAATTCATCACTCAGTCAATTATCTTTAATTAATATGGACTGTAGCCATTTAGTAGCTTCTCAAGGATCATGTGTTAATCAGCTTAGCTGTTATCAGAGTACATTCACATTATGTCATAAGCTTTTAATTTGTGGCCAAATGAATAAAAAAAAAAACAGGTAGGGCAAGATTGACCCTTAATTTTGTAGAAGTTGTCACACTACTGTCGTTCAGATATGGTAAGCAGTATGGACATATTCTGAATATCTAACTTCTTTATTTCCTTTCAGTTTTTCCCTGAAATACTTTGGCAAGATACTCCTATGGGAAGTCCTTGAACTAGCTGACATTGATAGGGATACCCAGTAGAAAGCGCCCACTGAGTAGGGAGTTCCCAGCATCATAGGTAGTCATGGTAACCACAAATGAGTCCCAGATGCTTTTGTCTGGTTGCCATGGCAATCTTGTGAACTCCGGTTCATAAGCCAAGGAGATGCTTTTGAACCACATGAAAAGGACGTGGGATCCAAAGTGAAGCTGGCTGGTACATGAGCATGTCTTCAGCTCTCATCGCTTACCAAATATGAACTCATCAATGTATACATAGAGCATCTACTTCATTGCCCCCAGTGGTTCTTTTCCCCCCTCAACTAGCACATCTGGATTAAAAATATATTAATTGTAGAATTTTTTTAATTCAGCTGTCTTCAATTTTGCGAAACCATCTTTTATTCTCTTTTTAAATAAAACCTATAGTCATTTTATAATTTCTCCCATTTATAATCCTTGACCTGAGCACTGATAGCATAAAGGACTCATCGGTCAATCAGAAAGTCAGTGGTTTGAACCCACTAATGGCTTCTTGGTAGAGAGATGAGGCAGTCTGCTTCTGTAAAGATTTATAGCCTTGGAAACCTCATAGGTCCCTATTGGGTCACTTGAGCCCTGGTGGCATAGTGGGTTACATGTTGCACTGTTAGCTGCTGCAAGATCAGCATTTTGAACCCACCAGCTATTCCATGGGAAAAGATGAGGCTTTTTGATCCTGTAAAGATTTACAGCCTTGGAAACCCACAGGGGCAGTTCTCCTCTGCCCTATATGGTCACTGTGAGTCGGGACCGATTCAGTGGCACTGAGTTTAGAAGGTCACTTTGAGTCCAGATCTACTGCACAGCAGTGGATTTTGACTTGGGGTTATAATCCTGGAAAAGTAAATCACACAGGTAAATGTTTCTGTTTTCTGTGGACCATAGCTAATGCCATGCCCTGATTGTAGAAGTAGGGTTAGTTCCTAGACATATGAATTCTCAAGGATTTGCATTTAATCATTCATTATGAAAAAAAACGGGGGCATAGGTGAAATTTTAATAAATTTCAGATTTATTATTCTGTGATTTTCTGTTAAGACCATCTTATATTATATTTGAAATTTTACAATACAGAGTAAAACATAGATATCCTAATAAGCTATATGTCAACTCTTTTATTCTTTGAAGACTAATGATTTGGAAATTTATGACCTGTAAACAACATAGGGTCACCGTGAGTCAGAACTGATCCAATGGCAGGGAGTGTTTTTAAGAAATCTATTATTTGTCTTAATCTCCATTTTTATTGAAATTATACAATTATAATATAGCTATTCTAATCAAGAATTGCTGAGAAACATTAACATTGCCAAAAAACTCTAAGAGTAAAATACGAAGTATAGAGAGCTCTAGCTTGTATAGTTAATTTTGGATTTCTTCCTGTAAGATGCTTGATAATACTGAGACATCATTTTAAATTACATAGGTTTGGTTTTCTTGCACGTTTTGGTTTACATAAGGAAGTTCTTTCATTTAGGTAAGGACAATTTTTTTGGTTTCCTGTGCTGCTTACACAAGCATTTTTGTTACCTTGACATCCTAACATAATTTTACTATCCATTTCATTTTCACTGAATAGCACCACTGAAATACATGTATTAAATAGAATAAAAATGGGGCTATGTATTTTAATTAAATGAAAATATTATGGTAAAATAATCAAGCTTCGTGTGTGTTTTATGATACTGCTCTTTGGCGGGGTTGCTTAAATCAGCTATGACTTGAGTCCCTTCTATGCTCATATCTGTACTGTTTCTCAAAAGCATCTTTACGCCAAATAAGCCACATGGAAGGTAGCAGATAGTTAAGTGGAGGCTCTTTTAAATTAAATATCGAAATGAGAATGGCTGTTATTTATGACCTCCTTGAAGAACTAGAAGTTACTCCCCGCGTATCTGACACATCCAACTTCCTTAGTCCGGATACTCAGTTGATAACTAAATCCTGGTACTTTGCTTCATTGATGTTTCAAAAATTTAGGTACCTCTCATCCATCCCTCCAAGCTACTATCAGCTCAGACCTCTATTATGCATTTCCCAACGACTTTTCCTGAACCAACCCTCTCAGTCTGCTCTCCAGACTGCATTTAAAATAGTCTTTCAACCACCAAATCGGGTTTTCTCACCCTTTAATTGAATCTCTGAGATTTCCCATGGTTTTGATAGGATAACGGCCAGTATCCGTCTCTTGGCCTTCAGAGCACACGTCCATGTCCCCAGCCTCCTCTCCCACGTCGCTCTCTCTCTGCACTCCTGGGTCCTCCCTCATCTGCCCCGTCTTTCCTTTGCTTACTTGATGCCAGGAGCCCTGGCTGGTAGTGGTTATGGACTGGTAACTGCAAGATCAGCATTTCTAAATCACCAGCTATGCCGTGGAAGAAAGCTGGGGCTCTTGACTCCTGTAAAGAGTTAGTCTCGGAAACTCACGGGGCAGTTGTACCCTGTCCGATGGGCTGCTACGAGTCAGCATCGGCATGGGTTCGCCGTCAGTGAGGGTGAGGGAGTTAATGCCAACTCATAAACTTCAGCTTCCTTTGTGCCCCAGACCTCAGACCGCTGCGCCTTTCCAATTCCCTGATGTCGGCCCCACAAGAACGACTTTTATCACACTTATCAGGCCTGTGGTTTTACCTCTGTCTGTTTGCTTTGTAAATTAAAGTCTGTCAGCTTCACGTGAAGATGGGACTATATTGGTTTTGATCACTGATCCACCTATGCTGAGAAAACTCATTCAGAGTGGGTCATTAGAACCATCTGGAACGTTGTAAGCCTCGCTCTCTGTCTTTGCCTCTGGCGTCTCTGCGGTCTGACTTAACAGGTGTGTCCTGTTGTTTCGCAGGTGGCAGTTCTCATCCCCTTCCGTAATCGCCACGAACACCTTCCCATCTTTTTCCTGCACCTGATTCCAATGCTCCAGAAACAGCGGTTGGAATTTGCCTTTTATGTCATCGAACAGGTCAGAATATTTTTCAAAGTGGACTTTAATCAACACTGAGCTAGATTGATTTAATATGTTGAGTTTAAAATGAATCAAGGAATCCGGGTCCTTGAGGGTTCTTTTTGGGTTTTTTTGAGTAAAATTACATTTTGGTTGAGCATGTATCTGTCTTTCAGGTTTTTCTTTCTTTTTATTTTTTAAATCAAAATAAAACTTGCCTTAGTGAAATAAGTTGTTCAGCAATTATGTATGGCTTTTGTATGCTAGGAGCCCTGGTAGCATACTGGTTATGTGTTGGGCTGCTAACCACAAGGTCAGCAGTTCAAAGCCAGCAGCCAGCTCTCAGGAAACAGCCAAACCTCTCTACTCTTGGAAACTCACGGGAGCAGTTCTTTCCTGCCCTATAAGGCCACTGTGAGTCAGCATCAGCTCGATGACAATGCAAGTTAATATGCTAACCGTATATATTTTAATTATATATGGTTAGCATATTATGCTAAATGGTTGCTGATCAAACTATTATTTTCTTATAACTGCACTTTGAATCAGGTTAAATACTCTGTTAAATTTTTTAAAATCATTTTATTGGGGCTCATACAATTCATCACAATACATACATCAATTGTGTAAAGCACACTTATACATTTGTTGCCCTCATCATTCTCAAAATTTCTGTGACCTTTTAATATTGTTTCTTTTTATGCTTTAACTGAGATTATGATCTTTGTTTACTCTTAAACACGCTACTTTTCTTCTATTTAAAAAAAGTAATTTTATTTGGGGCTCTTAAAGCTTTTATCACAATCCATCCATCCATTGTGTCAAGCACATTTGTACATATGATGCCATCATCATTTTCTTTCTACTTGAGCTCTTGATATCATCTCCTCATTTCCCCCCTCCTCCCCCACCGTCTCTCCCTCATGAACACTTGCTAAATTATAAATTATTATTATTTTCATATCTTATATTGTCTGCTGTCTCCCTTCACCCCCCTTTCTGTTGTTCATCACCCTGGGAGGGGGGTGGTGGTTATATATTGATCATTGTGGTTAATTCCCCCGTTTCTCCCTCCAACTTCCCCTTCCCCTCCTGGTATCTCTATTTTCATTATTGGTCCTCAGGGGTTTATCTGTCCTGGATTCCCTGTTTTGTGAGGTGTGTGTGTGTGTGTGTTGTGAGCTCTTATCTGTAGCCATGTACATAGTCTGGTCTATTCAGATTTGTAAGGTAGAATTGAGGTCATGATAGTGTGGCGGTGGGGGGGTGGGGGAGGAAATATTAATGAACTAGAGGAAAGTTGAATGTTTCATCAGTGCTTTACTGCACCCTGAATGGCTCATCTCTTCCTTGTGACCCTTCTGTAAGGGAATGTCCAATTGTCTACAGATCAGCTTTAGGTCTCCACTTTGTACTCCCCGCAATTCACATTGACATGATGTTTTGTTCTGGGTCTTTGATGCTTGATACTTGGTCCCATTGACACCTCGTAATCACACAGACTGGTGTGCTTTTTCCATGTGGGCTTTGTTGCTTCTCAGCTAGATAGCTGATTGTGTATCTTCAAGCCTTTAAGACCTCAGATGCTATATCTTTTGGTAGCAGAGCACCTTCGGCTTTCGTTTGCACCCATTTTGTCTTCAGTAATCGTGTTGGGAAGGTGAGCATTACAGAATGCCGGATTATTAGAACAAAGTGTTCTTGCATTGAGGAAGGACTTGAGTAGAGGTCCAATGTCCGTGTGCTACCTTAATAATTAATATATATATATATATATCCCTATCGTTATATATGACTGGTAATATACTTATATACATGCCTATATTTATGCCTGTATAAATGTCTTTTGCCTCCTAGTTCTTTCCTCTATTTCCTTTTACTTTTCTCCTGTCCCACTATTATCTACCTTTAAGCGGCTCTCAGTAATTCCTCCTGGCTACATTGCACTTGGCCAAATTCTACCAGGCATTCTACAACCTCCTTGCCATCAATTTTAGATCTTTTGTTGTTCCCTTGTCCCTGGGTTTGTTGGCCCTCCTTCCTTTTCCCCCACCTCCTCCTCTCCCATGTCTCCCTGGAAACATTGGTCCTTTTATTTTCTCCTCAGGATTGTAAACAATCCTGCCTATCTTATATAGCTAGATTTGAAAAAAAAGCCTATAAATAGTTCCAGATCTGTCTGATGACCCTTATGAATGTTTTCCAATCAGGTTTGATGAGGTGCCAAGTCCTGCTTCCAAGTCAGAAGTCTGTTTTCAGAACTTCTCAGGAACTTTGTAGCTTTGCTCCCCTTGCTGCTCTGTTGCACGCCCTTTATGTTTTGCCCCAGGGTGTGGGGGTCAGACCGGCACAATTCCCACACTGTGTCTCCAGTGCTGACCTCTGTAGTTCTGTGGGTCAGTGAGGGGAGGTTGTGTCTCGTGGTGAGGCAGCCTTATGGTCCTCTCTGTACATTGGTTGCTCTGAGCAGGAATGTTGCCCTGGATGCATGGTGGGCTAGGATGTGTTTCTCTCTCTCTCTCTTTCCCGCCCCACTCCCTCTTAGTTTGCTCCCCTGTGGTTTGAGCAGACCGGTCACTCTTCCAGGGTTGTATCTTCAATGCTGTCCTCTGTAGTGTGTTCTTCTGGGAGGGAGTTAAGATAGCTGAGATTGAAGCCGGTCCCAGCTTCCTCTGTTAGTTCACTGCTCCATGCTGATATGTTTCCCTCAAGGCTTGGCACACAGGGATGAGATCTGGTCTCTCTCACCCTTTCCTGTGGAGACATAAACAATACCCTCCCCATGGGTGGGTTCGTACCCTGTTCCCCCACCAACCTTGTCTCCCCCCTCTCCTTTTTGGTTGGCTGCCATATGAATCCCTTGGTTGGGTCTGACCTCTACCAGAGCACCTGAACCTCACCTCACTCTGGGAATTTATGCATTTAGTAGCTTTTCACCTATGCTTTTTAAGCTTACCTCAGTGGACTCATGCTGTACTTGTCCTTTTGTGCTTGGCTTACTTCACTTAGCATAATTTCCTCCAACTCATCCCTTGAGACCATGTGCTTCATGCATTCATCACTGCTTTTTAGGATGCGTAGTACTCCATTGTACGTATGTACAAAGTTTTCAATCCACTCATCTGTTGATGGAAAATTGGGTTGTTTCCAACTCTTTGAAATTGTGAACTGCACCGTGATGAACATTGGAGTGCAGCCGTCTGGTCGTGGTCTGTTTCTTACCTCTTCTGGGTATATGCCCAGAAGGGGATCGCTGGTCTTATGGTTGCTTGATATTCCATTCATTTTAGGTATTGCCAAATTGATTTCCATAGTGGCTGTACATACCTACAGGTCCACCAGCAGTAGACGAGAGTTCCTATCCCACCACACCCCCTCCAACACTTGTTGCTTTCTGATTTTTTTTTTAATTGGGCTATCTTTGAGGGTGCTAGATGGAATCTCATCATTGTTTTAATTTGCATTTCCCTTATGGCAAATGATCAGGAATATTTTCTCATATGTTTATTGGCCATTTGGATTTCCGCCCTTGTGAAACTTCTGTTCAGGTCTTTTGCCCACCTCTTCAATGGGCTATTTGTTTTTTCTTATTGTAGGCTAGCAAATTATTGTAGTTATTAGTAAAAAAACCTTTGTCTGATTTGTCATTGCTTAAGATGTTTTCCCAGTCTGTGGGCTCTCTTATTACTCTCTTGGCAAAGTCTTTCGATGTACACAGGTGTTTTATCTTCGATATGTCCCACTTGTCAATTTGTGCTTCCTGTGTTTCCAATAGCCCATGTATTCCCTGCACCAAAGTTCTCAGGTTTGTCCCAATTCCCTCATTAATGTCCCTAATCGTTTGGAGTTTTACATCAAGATCTGTGATCCACCTTGAATTTATTCTTGTGAATGGAGTGAAGTAATGATCTGCCTTCATTTTTTCCGTAGGTAGATAAGCCTTTTTTTCCAGCACCCCTGGTTGAAGAGGGCATCCACTTTCCATTTGATATGTTTTGAGGCCCTTATCCAAGATACGTTGTCTAGATGCTGATGATTTAATTCCTTGGTTTTCAGTTCTATTACATTGGTCTACATATCTGTCATTATACCAGTACCACACTGTTTTGACCACTGTGACTATATAATAGGTGCTTAAGTCAGGTAAAGCAAGCTCTCCGACTTTGGCCTTTTTCTTGAGGAGTTCTCTGATAATTCTGGGCTTTTCCCCTCTCCATGTGAAGTTGGTAGTCAGTTTTTTCAATTCTTTGAAGAAAGATGTTGGTATTTGTATTGGGATAGCATTAAACTTATAAGTGCCTTGAGTAGGACTGACATCTTTACTATATTAAGTCTTCCGATCCATGAGCATGGGATATTCTTCCATTTGTGGAGGTCACTTTTGGTTTCTTGTATGAGTGTTCTGTAGTTTTCCTTGCACAAATCTTTTGGGTTTTTTTGTTAGCTACATCCCTAGATATTTCAATTTGTGCTTGGCTATTGTGAAGGGTACTACCTTTTGAATCTCCTCTTCCATAGTCTCATCCAATATACATTACTTCATTTTATTGAACAGCTGCTTGTTTTGCAAGTTGGGCTTCTGAGTAGCTTCTAGACTCTGGCGCCTTGTCAACGAGACTGGTAACTGGTGTGCTTTGGAATGCAAGTCAAAGCCTTCGCACTGAAAAATACTCTCACTGCCATGTGGTCAATACCAACTGTCCACAACCTCGAAGGACAGAGTAAAACTGCCCTTAGGGGTTTATGAGACTGGAAATCTTTATGAGAGTAGAAAGCCTCATCCTTCTCCCTCAGAGCAGCAGCTGGTGATTTCGAGCTGCTGACCTTGCAGTTAGCCCAATGTTTAACCTACAGTGCCATGGGACTCTTGTGAATTCACTGCCATACCCTGGAATCAGCTTAGTAACATACTGAGTGTTGAATCCTGAAAGAGAACTTCAGTTTATGACCCATGAATTTAAGTATATAAAATCAAGAATACATTAAGATAAGATATAATAATAATTTATAAATTATTA